TTAAAGAGTAGAAAAAGCTGAATTAGATAACATCTGAGGTCCCTTCTTACCCTAAGATCTGACATGCTAAGAAGCAATGCGGAAAATAATATGATTATCAGAGCAAGTGGCATGAATAATAAATACAAAAGTGACTTGTTTATCTTTGAATAGTCATTTAGCTTCAAAATTCAGGGAATGAGTTAATAAAAGTACATTGTGGAATCTTTGCAGATCATGATTCTATCATTGCATATGTTAATAATCCCTCTAAACTTCATGTTATTTGAAAATTTTATTGGCATGTCATCTGTCTATCCAATGCATTAAAAATTATCTAACAGAACAGGCACAAGGACAGGGACTTGGAGATATCCTACTATTGGTAAAATTGAAAGAATACAGAATTTAGAATAAGAGGACCAAGGTTCAAATTCTGGCTCTGCTACTTATTTTCTTGTTTCACCTTTGATAAATTACTTCCTTTTTCTGTACTCCTTCCTCATTTGCAAAGTGAACTGTTTGACTTAATCTGTGTAGGGTCCTTTCTAGTCCTAAATCTCATTATTCTATGTTCTTTAAGTAGATTAGAATGGTTGAGGAAGGCTTTGTAAAGAAAGTATTTGAAACTTTGTTTTTTTTCTCCCATATCCAATTAGGTATCTTTCAAATTCATCAGTTTAATACTTTCCTCTATTTCCTTTCTCATCTAACACTTCTTGTCTTCCATGTAGAATAATCCAGCCAAACTGGATGACATTTTCTGATCTAGTATCTTCCTTCTTTCATGCTATGCCCTAGGCTTGGTATTCTCTCCTGTCATCTCTGCCTCTTGAAATTCCATGCACTCTTCAAAGTCCATATCAAATTCTATTTCTTTCTTTCTTGGAAACTTTCTTGCCCTTCATTGTCATATAGTGTACTTGGGAAATATAGTGACTTTATCATTGGCATGGAAATAGGATAGATGCTTCCAGATTCATTCAACTCTTCCTAATGTTGCTCTTGGGGTGAAATGAACATACTATATTGGCATAATGGGAATGGAAAAGACTTAAAAGAAATTTTTGTATCCTCAACCTAAACTCAGGACATGTTAACTCAGAAGGAATAAATTGAAGGTGTCTGGAGGGCAGATTCAATTAATAAGTGTTTTCCTTGCTTGGGTTTGAATCACAAAAGAGTGCAAGTAGGCCCTGAGTCTATGACCTAAAAGAGAAGATACACTCTCCCCACAATGGAATATGCTGCATTGCTTCTTAAGACCAGAAGATGGCAGCACAGAGCAGAAGAGAACTTGCAGTAGATAGCAGGACAGTAGAAATACAGCCCCACAGAACAATATAATCTGTGGAGAAGGAGGGACAAAAAGCAGTATTGGAAGCAGAGACGGATTCTAGTAGGGATGTAGCCATAACTACTGGAATTGTATGAGCAGTGTGTGTTCCCTATGTATAAGACCTCTTTTATGCATGTTCTCTCTCCTATGGGACATGGGAATCTGTGGGTGTGTCCCTAAGTATACGAACAGAGTTTTCCTTGTCATATATTTTGCTATGTCTTAAATATATTTAGCTTTGACACAATGCAGGTCTTATGTTTGGTATAATAAAGGGAACATTATTGGGAATTTGTGAGCTTTAGTTTTGACTAGAGATTGACCACCCAAAGTACCTTGAACCTTGAGTAGCTGTTTAGATGGGTCTACAAGTGAGAGGTCCCCGAAATACACATATCTTTGCCCACTTCTTATGCTATCATCCTATTCTGCATTACAATTATAAAATATGTATATATTTTAATATTCCATATTTGAATATACATTATATTCCCATTGTTAGATTGAAAACTCTAAGAGGTAGAAGGGTGTATCTTAATTAGCTTTGTATGTCCTCCCACACCTCATAAGAATGTAGGCATTCAGCAATGCTAAGGAATGTATCACATACTATTAAAAAAAAATAAAACCCAGAATCATTTCTCTTTTTCTATGATCTCCCACTTGTCAATCTTATCTACTTCCATGGTGACAATGGACAAGTCAGTTAACCTCCTGGGCCTCCTTTCCTTCATCTGTAAAATGAGATTAGATGAGATAGCTTCTAAAGTCTCTTCTAGCTTTAAAACTATGATCTTATGATCCTAGGTGAAAAGTAATGTTTTAGAAAGGTTTATCTGTTTGCATACATAATTCATGACAGATTGAAATTGGAAGAGATGAGAGGCAGGATGAGTAGTTAGGAAGAAGCTGCAGTAAGGCAAGTAATGAAGATGTAGACCATGGTAGTGGACATGAAAGGACTGATATGAAAGTAATTTCAAGAAACACTAGACAGAACTTCACAATTGGTTATTGGATGAAGGTTAAAAAAAATTACTACCAAGTTTTGAGCCAAAATAACTAGGACAATAGGTGGTGTCACTAATGGGAGAAGGGGTTTGATTTCAAGTAGAGGAGTGAGAAGATCTAATTTTGATGTGGTGAGTTTCACTTGATGTCATGATATCCAAAAGGAAATATCCAGTAGGCAGTGGTGATAGGGGACTAGAACTCAGGTGAGAGGTTAGAGAAAGAAATGCAAATTTGAAGATCATCGAGATTGATATGATAGCTTGAGACATGAGAAAGGATCATTTTACTGAGGAAAAGAGTATAGAAAATGAAGACTACTGGATGGAGGAATAAACTTTGGGAGAGGCCAGAGTTAAAATCAATGAAGAACAAGAAGATTAAAAGAAACAAAGAAGACAAAGAAGGATTGTCACAGAGATAGGAAGAAATGGCAGCTTTGCAGAAAATAATAAGAAGGGCTGTGGTCAACAGTATCAACTGCCATAAACAGGTAAAGTAGAATGGTGGAAGAAAAGCCACTGAATTTGGATCAATATTGATTTTCTAAAATGCAATTTCAATAGAGTGGTGGATTTTTTGGCGAGGAGGTAGGTCAAAGCTACATCACCAAATGCCTTATTTGCATTTTGGATCATAGATTTTGTGCCAGAAGACTTCTCAGAAACTATGTGATCCAACTCCTTTATTTTATAGGGGAAGCAACTGGGGACCAGGATGTTAAGTGATTTGCCCAAGGTCATTTTGGCAACACAAGCAATTATTATCAAGGTTGAGATTTGAACTCAGGTTTTCTGATTCTAGAGCTAGTTCTCTTTCCTCTATGCTGTACTGCCTCCTAAAGGACTTTGGTACAAAATGGAAAGAGAAGGCAGCTTCAGTATTTGTCAAGTTGTGTTATTAATTGACATGTGTTGATAAATGGTCAAAGGATATGAACAGGCAGTTCTCAGATGAAGAAATCAAAACAATTTATAGTCATATGAAAAAATGCTCTTAATCACTATTGGTTAGAGAAATGCAGATCAAAACAGCTCTGGGGTACCACATCATACTTATCAGATTGGCCAATATGACAAAACAGGAAAAGATAAATACTGGAGAAATGTGGGAAAATTGGAACATTAATGCATTGTTGGTGGAGTTGTGAACTGATCCAACCATTTCGGAGAGCAACTTGGAACTATGCCCAAAGGGCTATAAAAATGTGCATACCCTTTGACCTAGCAATAGCACTTCTAGGGCTGTATCCCAAAGACATCATAAAAAATGGGAAAAGGACCCACATGTACAAAAATATTTATAGCAGCTCTTTCTGTGTTGGCAAAGGATTAAAAATTGAAGGGATACCTATCAATTGGGGAATGACTGAACAAGTTGTAGTATATGAATGTAATGGAATACTATTGTGCTATAAGAAATAATGAGCAAGTGGACTTCAGAAAAACTTGGAAAGACTTGTATGGACTGATGCTGAGTAAAGTGAGCAGAACCAGGAGAACATTGTACATAGTAACAGCCACGTTGTGCAATAACTAACTTTGATAGACTTAGCTCTTCTCAGCAATGCAAAGATCTAAGACATTTCCAAAAGTCTCATGATGGAAAATTCACATCCCAAGAAAGAACAATGGAGTTTGAATGCAGATTGAAGCATACTATTTTCTCTTTTTTTCCTTGTTTTGTTTCTTCTTTCTTATGGTTCCTCCTGTTGGTTCTAGTTTACAACATAACTGATATGAAAATATGTTTAATAGGAATGTAAATGTAGAGCCTATATCAGATTGCATGCCATCTTGAGGAGGGAGGCAGGAAAAGAGGGAGAGAAAATTTAAAACTCAAAAGCTTATGGAAGCGAATGCTGAAAACTAAAACTAGCTAACTAAATAAATATTTTAAAAAAAAAGAATAATTGACATGTGTAAATGCTCAAATCCTACACACAGTCAGCCAGTCTGTCAATAATGTTCAAGCAACTTTTCCTAACACAGAAACTGCCTTGAAAATCTATTGCCACCTAATTATTACAGACTGCTGTGGTGAAGGATTTTTTTTCTTTTAAATTATGTTGATCAAAAACTTGCTTCAATACCACAAGGATAAATGATTTCATCAATGTGGCCATACCTTGTGAGTATGTCTGAAATTTCCCCAGCATACACATAGCTGGTTGAGCCTTTTAGAACCCAGGCTCATCTCTAAACCATGGTGAAGTGTCAGAATAAGACTTCAGTGAAGGATCAGAAACTTGAAATGGACAGTAATGACTCTAAATTTTCTCATAAATCTTATTACTATAGCTGTATAAATGGGCATTTCTTGCAATTTTCAATACTAAGATGTTATTGAAGTATTTAAGAAGAAAAAGGATTTTAAGAACTGTTTTAAAATGAATTTTGTAATGTCATAAATTTTCTCTTATAAATTTTTTAATGTGGAGGAGTTGATATGGAAAAGACAAAATGGTTCCTAGTCACAAAGTTTGTGCAGCATCTCATGAGTGATTAATGTGTCTCTGGAAGTAGGGGAACCTGTGTGTAGCTACACAGGTAATAGAGGCAGCACATATATAATACTATTTAAAAATGAGGTTTAATGGCGGGGGGGAAATTAGAGAAAACCTGGATGATAGCTGCATGAGAAAGCAAAATCAAGTGAAATTTTTTTCCAGTGCCATTCAGGAGACCTGGGTGTGTTTGAAGACTTAAAGAGCCTGTGGAGATGGAGAGATGGAAGACATTACAGAGTGAGAGGAAAAGATTGGGAAGCAAGACACTTCAGAAGTTAAAAAAGGTATAATATGAAGAGGTAGTTCTGGAAAAGATAAAATCAATTTTTACTCTGAGAGGATGGGAAATCAATTAATCAAGAAATATTTATTAAGCACCTACTATATATCAGGCATAGGGAATGCACATACAAAGAAGGGAGAGGTGGTCAACCAGGGGAGAAAATGGTCAGAAAATAGACTAAAGTTCAAATGGTGTGTGCATGCTGGTGAATGGCTGATCTGGGGGCAGAGAAGATTATTGGTGGAATAAAGGAATAAACTATGAGCACCAGGAGCAGAATGAGACAATAACATAGATATAAAGTTTTTTGAGGATAACGTTTGCTAAAGAAGGCGGAAGGGTAGAGGAGGAAATAAAAAGAATGTGAACCATGTAAGAAAGTTGTGTACTTCTGTTGTATCTCTATTCACTACTGACCCTCACCACTAGAGCAGCAGGGTAGAAGACCTATAAGAATTTTTAACAAAGATATTTACTGTGTTGCTAAATCCCTTTGTCCCATTAAAGGCTAAAGGCACTGACAGTTTAGGGAAATGAAGAAATAGAAGGGTGGTCTGCCCCGTTCACATCAGAGAAAATCAGGCAAATTATGCATTTAAAAATCTTTGATTTATTAAAGGAATCAGACTTCTTAGACTATACCAAGCACAGAAATTACATGTCAGCAAAATAAACTATATGCAGGCTAAGTTACTTCCATTTCTACAATCTAGTCACCCAACAGTGAGCGTTTGATAATGGTTTTGATAGCAGACTGTACATTTTAACAACATTTGAAAAACATCTCTCCTATTACTTCTGTATTTCTCTGAGGGAATGCATGTTACAGGAAATAAACATTCAGGAAGGTTCAGGGAAGAATGAAATTGAGTATATGGTTTTTAATTAAAACAAGTTTTGCTTTTTAAGAACTTATGATAACCTTCAAAAGAGTCAGGGAAAGTAAGCACACACATACAAATGCAAATAAAGCAACACACTCTTTCTACTTGTTTCCCTGTGGAGAACCCATTCTCATTAGTTAGCAAAGATAAGAAGAGAAATAATGGATTTAAATTTGAACAAGAAACATAGAAAAAGTCAAGAAAAACTGAACAGTAAGATCAACTAGGGAATGCAACCAATTTCTGGAAGAGATGATGGGATCAGAATCAATTGAAATCTTCCTGTTGGAGTTTGACAGACACTGAGTGGAAAAAGGCAAGAGAGGTTTGTAAGACATGAGATAACGGTTGTGCGGTGGTGGACAAGTCCTTCCATATAGAAGCTCTTCTAGACCGTGGTTGGGGAGGAGGATGAATTAGTGCACTGAAATCTCTTTAGAGGTATTTAATCTCCCATAAAAGAAGCAAAAGCAAGCAGAAGGAGACATAAAGGGCTTAAATGCACAGACTCACTCTCACATATCCCTTGCAATTTTTTCCCCCCTACGTTATGTAAAGAGAAGAAGAAGAAAGCAGCACAAGTGTGAGCACAGCATACTATGGCCATCTTTGCACGTGGCTGTGGGTCTGGATTGTGTATGCATGGGCATGCACATGCCCTCATTTGTGTGTGACTAGTTTGTATACTGTTTAGAAGGCAACTGATGGCAGGGATCACAGCTATCTTTAATTTTTTTTAAATTTTCTTTATTTCTTTAATATCTTCAATTCCTTTTGCAGTCAATACAGTGGTGGGTACCTCATGACCATGGAACTAGGCTCATACCTCTTCCTAGGGTTCAGGACACAAATGAGATGTTCCCCTTATTCTGGAGAACTGGGCTGCTACTTGATTGACCCAAAGGACCTGATGCCCTGGAAAAATACTGCAGCCCCAGAAAGCATAGTGCTGAAGATGGACAACCCTATCTTTCTTCTTCCAATTTTTTAAAAAAAATGAAGAACTTTAAAAACACTAATATAAACATTGAATATATCAGCATGAAAAGAAAAACCCAGAAATAATACTGCATATGAAAATTTGAACTATTATATGTAGTTTTTAAAAGTATTTTAACTTTAACTTGAAAGTAATAAAAACTGTCCTGAATTCCTTTCTGTTCTTCCTTCTGCTTTAAGCTGCATAATTTTAGTGTTTCCTTGATATTCTTTTTTTTCTATGTATTACTATTTTTAATTACATTACAAACATTTACAGATTACCTCTACTCCATGAGAGGGCTTATGTAACAAAGTAAAATAATTAAGTAAAACTGACCGTATAGTGACCTAGTCTGTGTTCCACATCTGCAGCTCTCTATTTAAATTGTTTTTCATTTACAGAAACATTTTCTCTTTCTCCTACTTCCTACTGCATTGAGAACAACCTCCCCCCCCACAAAAAAAATAATTCCTTGTAACAAATTTTCATAGTCAAAGCAAAACAAATTCCTGAATGTCTATATATAAAAATATATGTCTCATTCTACATTGTGAATTTGTCATCTCTCTCTTAGGAAGTAGATAGTATATTTCATCAACAGTCCCCTGGAATTATGGATGGTCACTTGTATTGATTATAGTACTTATAACTTTAAAAGTTGTTTATCTTTATAGAATTATTGTGATTGTATTAAGTGTTCTGGTTTTCCTCATTTTTGTTCTTCATCAGTTTATTAAAGTCTTCAAAATTGTTAGTTTTTATAATATAGATGCTAGAGTATAAATTTTTTTTCTGATTTTCTGTATTTCATTCTGCATCAATCCATGTAAGTCTTTTCATGGGTCTTCGAAATCATTTATTTCCTAGTATAATAGTATTCCACCACATTCATACACCACAACTTATCAACCATTCCTTAGTTGATGGGTATCTCTTCCTTTAGTTTAGTTGCCAGAAGAACTGCTATAAATATTTTTGTACATATAATGTCTTTTACTATGTTTTTGATCTTTTGGGCCTAGAAGTAGTATAACTAGGTCAAAAAGAATGCACTGGCTATAACTTTTCTGTGCATAATTACAAATTGTTTTCGAGAATAGTTGTACTTATTCATGACAGCATCAATAGTCTATCAAAGTGTCTATTTTCCCACAACACCTCTAACATTTATCATTTTCCTCTTCTGTCACCAATGACAATTTTATAGGTGTGATATGGAATCTCAGAATTACTTTAATTTGTATTTCTCTAATTAGTAATGTTTGGAGAATTTTTTTCTCATATGGCTATGGGTAGTCTGGATTTCTTCTCTTGAGAACTGCCTATTTATTTCCTTATTTATCAATGAAGAATGGCTCTTATTCTTATAAATTTGAATCACCATGTAACTTGGAAATGAGACCTTTAGAATTCCTGAAAATCAAAGAAGAGATTAACAAAACTGAAAACAAACAAACAAAAAAATTAAAGTAGGAGTTGTTTTTTAAAAGTACAATAAAATTATTAGCTAATTTGATTAAAATAAAAAGAGGAAACCTAAATTACTAGTATCAAAAATAACAAAGGAGAATTCAGAAGAAATAAAGAATAAAGGATGTTGTTAGAAACAAATTTGCCCAAATATATTTCGATAATACCAAATTAAATGAAATAAATATTTACAAAAATAAAAAACCCAAAGAGATAGAACAATAAATAGAGAGTTTAAGCAACCCAATCTCAGAGGGAGAAAATGAACAAACCATAAATAACTTTCAAAGAAAAAAAACACCAGAAATATATGGATTCATAAGTGAATTCTATCAAACACTCAAAGAACAATTAATTGAAATATTATATATTCTGCAGAAGAAAAAATCTTACCAAATTTCATCTATGGCATAGATACAGACTTGATGCTTAAGCCAAAAGATATAAAACAGGAAAATAAAATCATGACCAAAACTATAAACCAATATCCCTACTGAATATTAATACAAAAGATTTAAATAAAATATTAGCAGAGATGAAAACAACATACCAACAATTGCGCTATGACAAGATTGGATTTATACTAGGAATGCAGGATTGGTTTATTATTGGAAAACTATAAACTTAGACATATTTATAATAAAATGAATAAAAATAATATGCTGACAGATGGAGCAAAAGCTCTTGATAAAATATTATGTCAATTTCTCTCAAAAAATTAGAAAACATAGAATTAAATGATCCTTTCCTTAAAATGATAAATACAGTATCTCTCTAAAACCAAGAACTACCATTATATGTAACAGAGATAAACTAGAACCTTTTCCAGTAAAATCAGAGGTGAAACAAAGATGTCCCTATCACCACTTCTAAATTCCCCCTCATAAGTTCCCCTCTTGAAAATGTAAAGCTTCCCTTGTAATGAATAAGTATAGTCAAAATAAGCCCACACATTAGCCAAGTTTGGAAATGTAGGTCTCATTATGCATATCTAGTCTATCACTTATCTGCCCAGAGGTGGGAATACTCTACCTATTCCAGCAACTGCATGGTCAGTACAGAGAATTCCCCAATGTTTCCATTGATCTGGTAGCTGATGATACCATTTTCTAGGCTGTTTTCCATTCTGCTTCCATCTGCTGGTTGTCTGCTAAGCTATTGCTATCATAATTGAAGCTGATAGGTGAATACTTGCAGTTGTTTTTGTGTGTGCATAGCCCAAAGCTCCAGGCTATTTTATCTGTTTTGTGGTTCTCACTTGCAGCTATATCCAACCAGCATAGGAAATCATTCCTTAGTCAAATGCTTTTTTTTTTAAGTCCTTTAGCTTTTCCGCGGTGTCAACTCTCTGAGCTCATTTTACTATGAGAGTTGAGGTGAATACATGCCTTTCATAGATATGGACCATAGGGTCTTAGATTTGTAGCTAGAATGGATTTTAGTGGTTATCCAGCACAATGCTCTCATTTTACAGATTGGAAACCATTCTCTGTGAGGAGGTGGGTAGCATTCTTCATCATTGTGGTTGGTCATTGATCAGACTTCCTAAGTCTTTCAAAACTGTTCTTTTTTTACAATATCAGTGTCTTAGTATAAATCGCTCTGGTTCTGCTCTCTTTATTCGGCATTAGTCAATACATCTTCCCAAATTTCTGTGATAATATC